GTAGGTACCTGCTAATCCCCATCGAAATGTGCACGTAAATGTAAAATTCATACTTACTTATGGATGTGTTAACTGCTGGTTCTAAATATTAATGTTTGTTACTAAATGGCTGTGGGATACCCAACTTCCACCTACTTGTATCTGCGTTTGTAATTGTGTTTGTATGTGGCTTTGGGTAATAGAGCAATATTAATGGACGTGGTGGTGTGTTTCGCAATCACAGTCAGTCACAAGCAATGAAATTTCATTTGAGTTGGTTAATGACACCGCCGGCGAGTAAATGAGAGGGGTTACTTACTTCTATATCGCTTGACTCGGCAAATCCATTTTAATCGCTTTAAAATTTTATGAAGTTATCATGTTGCTGTTATTAATATCGATCGACGGTATTTGATTTCGAATTCCTTTATACAACTTAATAAGTAGATATACATATACATACATATACAGAAGAAGAGAAGGGCAGAAGGGGGTCAACATATCAGATGCGGAGTTCATAGGGGTTGTCCTTAAGGTGGTGTGCTCTGGTGCTTGGTAATTGATTATCTGCTGGTCAAACTTATTTTTGGTCGGCCTTGTCCCCCTGCTCTTAAAGGAGTCACTATACACATCCCTTCCGAAGTAAAGTATGTATTTGGGTGTTGGATTTCCTGTTGCTGACGCCTGGCTTAATCTTCATTGTAGAATCTTAAATGATGGCGCCAAAACGTCAGGATCTGTACCAGAACCAGTATAAACTTCGCCTTTGAGAAAATGTCTTGATACTTTGGAACTCGGCCGTGGAATACGTGGAAGACAGCCAAGCTGCACTAAAGGCAATGGCCAGCCCTTTAACTAAATAGTTAAAAATTTGATCGGCAATGCAAGTATCAACTAAAATATGCTGGAAAGCCTGGTAATGAGAAATTTGACCATTTCCTCTGACTAGACAGCCCTCAGATCAGACATCACTCGGCCCACTACTAGTTATAGCACTCCCATCCATAGAAGCCGCCATCAGAGACTGAGTGGGCAAAACACATGTTGCTCTTAATCTCTGAGGACTGATTTCTCCATCTCAACTTAACTTAGTAAAGAATATGCTGATTAAAAAGTAGGCTAACTTTTGGCTTAGGTTAGCCTAGATGGTAAAAATGAACTTGGACTTATTTTCAATGCCACAGACTTATTCATTTTCACCATCTAGTCTAACCTAAGCCAAAAGTTAGCCTACTTTTTAATCAGCTTATTCTTGACTAAGTCCAGAAAATAGCTAAACTAAGTTAAGATGAGTTGGAGAAACCATCCCTGCAAGTCTTGCTTGGTACTTGATTTAAGGCTGCGACATCGACGTAACAAATCGATTTTTCAAGCATCGAAGTTATGCTGAATTAAGTATTGAAGTTCATAAAACATGAAAACAATCGACAGTAAAAGCTAGACTCCGACCGATTCCAATTTTTTTCAGATACCGATGCCGATGCCTATTAATCGGCTTATGGGGAAAGAATCGGCCGATGCCTATGCCGGTGCCGAGTTTAAAAATTACGAGCTATCTTAAAGGTACAAGCATAAAAATAAAATAAATTATATATCAGTTCTAGATAAGGAACTCGACTTTAAGTAAATTGGCAATCCATGCACATATATATGGAAGATGTAGGAAAGAGTCAGGTGACTACCCTCTGGATGGACAATATGTTGAGTTTGGGAGCACATCTATGGCTCCGTGGTAATAAGTGCAGTAAGGAAAACAGCTAACAGCTGGCGTGGTTCCAGCTTTTCGATGAGGAAACCTTGCTTTCAACGAATTTCAGTTACACACTTCGCCGAAAGCCATTAAGGTTGTTACATTCACAGTTGACCCAAATATTCAGGTCGGATGGAAGTGCATGCCGATGGTATTGAACACTTCAAACCTGTACGGTGAGCAAAAGCGAACGATCTGAGTTTAGAATTGAACTACGTATTTCAATTCATGAAGCAATATAGGACAGATAACTTCCCAACTGCATTACTTTATGATGAAAATGTCAAGCTGTTGCAAAAGGCAAAAATTTAGTTTGTTCCAAAGTTCGCTGACCTCAAGTCTTGGTACATATCCACCAGATCTTAGTTCTTATCACCCTAACGTACCATCCTAATTTCAGTAAATTGAAACTCATCAAAACTCCCTTAACTTATTATTCCGGTAGAACTGTTAAAAAAAAAAAAAAATACTCCCGAATGCAGGTGTCACCGAAAAATGTAAAAAGGCGACCCCTAGGTTTAGGCAAAAAAAACCAAAAGCTTTTTTCGGAATTGCCTTGCAGAATACCTTCCTCACAGGGGTGTACGTGATTTTTTTTTTGTTGGTTTGCAAGGTGGTACGGTGTAGTGTACATTCTTATGTACTCGTATATCGCATGATAAATAAATCATTTATTAAGAATTTTCTCCAATTACCTAGTACTACTAGATAAGAAAAGCCGACAAATGCTTTTGCTTCCGATTTCGTTTGAAACTTTTTGTGAGTCATTTGTATCTACGTAATGAGGAGTCACGTTCACACAAGCCTTAATATTAAATTTTAAAAGCAATTGTTGTTTTTTTTTGTTTTGTATTCTTTGCCACATTCGAGCGATGACGAAATTTCATTTATCATTAAACAAATAAGGTGTGTGCCAAAAAAAGAAAACCACAGAATATATAATTAGGCAGTAGATATTTTGTAGTACTTCTAACTCTAAAATCAGCTCAGCTTAACTCTATATAGGTTCGTGAGAGCCCTGATGAACGCTAAATTTCTAACATGAAAGATAACAAGTAATGCAAAAAAAAAAGTTTAAGTCAAGCTTTTATTAGTGGTTGGTAAAAAAAGAAAAACTGACCTGGCTCCACCTAAAGGCTAAATATTTTTTTGGCGTTATTTCTTTCCATTTAAGTATAATAGGTTCGCAGTATGAAATAAATCCGTTTCATGTAAGTAATACTCATTCTAAATGCGAACTATGTTGGACCATAAAACCGGGCTTTTAAATATCTCTACACCCGCTCCACCTAGCGGATTAATTCATATTTCATAGTGCATTATCATCGGGTTCTGAACCAAGTTTGAAGTCTTTAGCTCATCGAGAAGTTGGTTAAAAGTTGATTGAAAGATTTGATTACACAAAGGCGAAACTTAATAAAAGCTTAAAGCTTGTAAAAAAACCTTTACTTGATAATTTATTATACAAATAAATGTGAAAGTGAGTGAGTGTTGTGAGTATATTATTAAAGTCCTTTGATAAGTAAGTTAAATAATGTATCACAACAATATTGGTGGCCAACGAAAGGGGTTAAAAACAATTTATATCGAACAAATTCTTTAAGAGCGTTGCCACCAGTTCAAAAAATGAAAATCAATTTAACTAACAGTATTTAACTAAAAGTATCAAACAGGAGACGTTTAACATTGCTTTATTTCAAAAATATTTTTAAAGGGAGTTGCCACCTCTTTTTAAATTCAAAGTAGTATTTAATTAGAAAAACGATTTTTCAGATTTCTTTATTCCTAAGCAAAAATACTACAGGTAACCAATTACAGCAAAAGTGGAACACAATTTGTTGTTTTTGCCTATTTTATATGGGGCTCCCCCACTGTGCGGCGCATAGATATGGACATTCATAAAAAAATTCACTCTTTTCCATCAATAAAAATGCTGATTAAATAACAAAATACTTAAGTTTTTTTTTTGAAAATGAGAAACGAATTAGCTGACCCATAATAAAAAAATATGTATGTATGTATATTAGACTGCATCACCAAAAAAAAAATTGCTTTCCAATGACACCTCACAAGTCTAAATCGGAAGATTTTAGGTTCAGTTATTTAAGTTTTTCGTATATCAATCTTTGAAAAAAGTAAAAAAAACAGCATCAAAAATCTGATTATTACGATTCCGCTCAACATTTTTTTAAATTTTTTTAAAATATTTTTTTTGCAAATTTTTTAAGCTTAAACCGTTTTGTCATTTGAGGGGATTCAAAAAAAAATCTTTAAGAAACTATTTTTATTTATAAAAACTCCATTTTTGGAGGTACATATTTTCAAATCGGTCCAGCTCACGTAAATCTTAATATTTTTCCGAAATATTTTGGTGGGCGGGCGTCTTAAAATGTAATAGATTTTATAATTCCAATGGAAACACAGTACCGAGTTTTTTTTGGTATGGGGAGTGATGCAGTCTAATATATATATTTATTAATTTATTATTTATTAAAAAAAAGGCCTACCCATATTAGCCTAGTCACATATCCAGGCATATTTGGAAGGTGTGTAATAATGTTAGCATTGTTTGAATGCCTAATTGTTTTTTGACTAAAGCGTCGCATACAAACAATAATCGATGGCCCATTCTTTAGCATTCGGGTGTGTATGTATGTAACCATTTACTACTCGTATCATCAATTGAATAGGTACTCGTACAAGTGCTACTTTATGTTCAACAATAATTGATTGATTTGGGAGCGTTTTCGTTTTCGTTTTCAATTTCATTGTCATATTCGCATTGCACAAGTACAATAACAAAAGTAAACAAACAATAAAACAACAACAACAACTACAATAGCAAACAATTAAAATATTTCTATTGTGCGTTTTGTGAGTAAATAGCGGCCAGAGCACACCCGCCGCTTTTTGTTTGTTATCTTTCGAGTTATCAAATTTATATTTAATGACGTGCCAACATTTAACGGTGACACATGAAAGTGTCGTAGTAGTTCTGCTTTTCAAAGAGTGTATTATTACTACTTCACTATGTACGTACATACATACATACATACATATGTACAAATGCAATAAAACTAAATGATTAAAAAGTAAATAAGTAAACATTTCTTCTTATCGCGTTTTCAACTACGAGCAAGGTTGGTATTTTCTTATACTCGTATCTACATACAGCACATAAATATGTATGTGTATTGTTGGCAATTACTATATATTGGTTTTTATTTTGGTCCGTTATCATGCTCCGGCCTGCTAACCAGCTGCGCTACGTATCCGGTGATTTTGCAATTCTCCATTCAGTTTATCGTTTTGATTCGCGGAAAGTGTTACTGCTGAAGTAGTTGGTGTTGAAAAAATGTTCCGTTGGTGCTGGTGGGTTTAATAATTTGCTAAAATATATAAATTGTTTTTAAGTGCTAACTGCCAAGTTCCTAAAAATTGCAAAACTCAAAATTTTTTAAATGTGAATTTCCTAAATCAAAAATGGAAAAGTGAATTAAATTATTTGTAGAAATTTGTTTAATGCCTAGAAAGTTGTGCTTAAACAAGGAGGCTTTGATTGTTACACAGAAACGTCTGGAAATCTCGCATGGTTTCAAGCTAGCGATGAGATTCCAATTTTTACCGAAACGGTATCGGTCTTAACAATAGCACCCAATTTCACTTATGTTTATTTATTTATTTTTAATAATTTTCAATTAAAGTACATTTCATTATCTAACAAAACCCATATAAAGCCAAGTTTAAAAATTTGTAGAAAACTACAAAAAAAAAAAATGCAACAGATTTTCATCCAAAATTTAAAACTTTTTTCTCACAAGTGTTAGAATTTTTTTGAGTAAACAGTTTTATAGCGCATTAAATTTTGGTCTAATAATGTGCAAGTGTCAAGTGATTAAAAATTACCGTTGATTTTTTTTTAGAATTTCTTTTGCCGCTGGTGTTGCGGTTTTCTCGTTTGGTTTTCATGTGTTTATTATAGGCGGATGAAAAATTTTCGGGTGAATTGTGTTTTTGGAAGAAAATGCGAAAAAAATTCTAAAAAATCAACGGTAATTTTTAGTGCACAATATGCCATTTAAATTGTTTGGGCTATAAAACTGCAAACTCAAAATAATTCTAACACTTCTGAGAAAAAAGTTTGAAATTAGGGTGAACATTTTTAGATAATTTTTTTTTCAGCTTTCTACAAAGCTTTAAACTTGGGTTTTTATGGGCTTTGTTATACCATGTCCCCACCAAAAAGTTAACCATCTCAAATCGAACATAACCACATCACTAACTATTGCTGTCCACACTGCGGTTTGAGGTTTATAAAACAGTACAAATGTAAAGAACAGTGTTCGGACCTCAAAAAATCGATTCAGAACTAAATTACTGCAAAAATCGGAGCAAAAACAAATAATCCGTACTAGATTGAATTTTTTATTTTTGTTTCTGACATTAATTGTTTGACTAAAATATTTTCTATTCATGCAAAATAAGAACGCGGGGCAATGTAAGGATAATATGTTACAAATTTAGGTAATTTTTAGCATTTTCTATATAGTATAGTATAGTATCTAACACTTAATTTTTTAAAAAGCAAACCTTTTCTACTTTATATAAATTTCATTCTACATATATTTTTTAACAAGCTAAGTAAAGTTCCGCATCCGCCAATTTGTACAGCCATACATCAAACAATAACGAAGTTACTTTATTGACGCATTCCTATGAAAGAGTTACTTTTTAACAGTGAGATTTGGCTACTTTTAAATTTTTTTACTGAAACCGGTGGTGAACACTCAAAAAACGGCCCCAAGAGGGGCATAACATGAATGAAGAAAACGGAATAGATTTGAGGTCCAGCGGAGTAGAGGAGTAGATTTCAAATTTTTTCAAAAACTGGAGTAAATCTAATCTGATCTTAGTTGAGTCCAAACACTAGTAGGGAACGAATTCTTTACATTTTAACGCTAATGACCCACAGATGGCGGGAAAACACAGGGTTGTATCAGACTTTCGACGTGGTTTCGAGTTGGTTAGCTTTTAACCATCTCAGTGAAATGGTTAAGTGCTGTCATTTTTATATGGCGAAACTACGCTAAATCAAGTGGGTTATCGGGATAACCAACTCAATAGCCATAACTACGTGGTTAGCTCCGGTGGGGACATGATATTAGATAATGAGCTGTATTTTAATTGAAAGTTCTTAACAAAAAATGAATAAACGCAAGTGGCAAACAATATGACTTTGAAATGGGGTGCTATTGATATGAACGATGCTGTATATTCGACATAAATATTTCCATGAACGATATTGAACTTACATACTGCCAGATTCGCAAAATAATATGAAACATTTTCTGAACTTCTAGTTTGTAGTTTTGAGTAGAATTCGGACTAATGAAACTCATGATAGGGCTGAATAATTTCTGTTTCGCTTAGGATTATTGGAACATCTGCGAACATATCGAGCCCTAACCGCCAAAATAACGTAAGCGAAATTTTTTTCAAAATTTTATTTTTGATGCAAAAATATTCCTAGAGCGTCTAGATGCATTTCTGCATCAAAACAAAAATTTTGAATAAAATGTCGCTTACGTTATTTTGGCGGTTATGGCTCGATATGTTTCTTGGTCGGGTGGTTCATTTCATTCGGTCTCTGTAAAACTCATTTACTCGCGCGTATGAATGATGGATGCTCCGGTGAAAAGAACCTTCAATGGTACCAATGGCGAAATCTCTTTTGGTTTTGACTCAATCTTATAAGCAGTTATAGCGCCATATATTGAGAAGAAGATTAAAGTATTTAGCTATGGCCTTTTTTTACCAATATTTCATGAATCAGTTCTTACAACCCTGCGTTACATATGGAATATTCTCAAAAAATTGATATATTTCAGTTTGGTATCCGTCAATTTGTAACGTCTTAAAAAAAAATTGTGTTTGTTATTTCACAAAATTATGTGCAACGTATAGCAAAAAAAATATATCCACTATTCGCAAGCAAAGTGACTAATGTGCAAGCCCAAACTTGAGACTTAATGGTGTTGAACCATCGACAGTGCATGCAATGGGCAATAAAAACAGCCACCCACGGCGACGACGTGCCACTAGCGTAGATACGCCGAATTCCAGTGCTTATCAGAGCAGGGAGTCATGTGATTGCAGTTGTAATCCAGATTGTCAAGTGACGCACCACAGAACACAAGAGCGCTGCACACAAAGGCGGCGGCGGCGATCCAGGTGCCGTGGCTGTCAACGAGGAGCTTCACCAATGGTAGACGAGCAAGGAACCTATGATGCACCACCAATGTGTCGTTCCCATACGAATGTCTGTTTGAGTCCATCGAAATGTCATCTGATAGCGACGCGTGTGATCATTTGCAAGAAGAGCAACAACGTCGACCGTTAAGCAAACACCACTTTGCCACGCAATGCAAGAAACAGTTATTTTGAAATTTTAGGTATTTATTTTTAATTTTTTTTTTTCAAGTTTTTGTTATAATCCAAGCGTTGACACTTTCAGTGTCAAGCAAATATTTTCGTTGAAAAGAAAATTGAGAAAAAAGTGTAATCAAAATTGCTCCATTCGAAAGAAGTAAATTGTAAAGAAAATTAAATAGTTTGTGTTACCATTGCAACACAGTAGCGGTGCGGCGCTGCGGCATAACACGCGATTGCAGGGCGTCTTCGTAGGCCGGTAAAAGTTTCGAATGCGAACCAGTTGTTGCTGAAAAAAAAAATGGGATCCGTTGGCAGTACACATCGTCGCGCACAGTATCGACCACACTCGCCCGCCACATGTCGGCACGATACACCGCCGAGGACACACGATGTGTCCAGAGATGTAAGCGAGCACAACATGGGACCGCGCATCGTTGTGCCTGGCGTAGATCGACCTGAAGCGTACGAAGTGCAGCGCCAACCGTCGGATAGAATAGATAGAGAATTTGGCGCACCTAGGACCACATCATCTACTATGCATTTTCGCTACGGCGCATCGGCAAGCACTTCTGCCCAACCTACCTCCTTCCACCTTCCACCGCCACCAGTACGCATCAAAGAAGCGTCGTGCAATTGTAGGGCTTGCAAAGAAAAGGATGAAGCATTGGCCGCTTATGCAGCTGCATCAACAGCCGCCACCGCTACTTATCTACCAGCAACAACGGCGAGCATGCAAATGCGTATCGCCGCCGCCTCTACGCCCAGCAACAATGGTGTGACACGAGCACTGCAACTGCAAGCCACTACGGTGTACGCGAGATCGCCACAGCGATTGACATCGAATCGCAGTTTAGTTGCGGCAAGTGGCGCGCCCAATTGGAGCGGACACATGGAGACTGTTGCTGAGCGGACTTTAGTAGGCTCGTCGTCGCCACGCATGCGCGAAGCCACATTTCTGCTGCAACCGCAACCGCAAGCTGCGATACCTGCGCACGTATACTACGATAGTGGACCTGTACCAAGGTAAAGTGTTGAGATGTGGTCACTTTAGCTCACTCGCTGTCTGCCGTCGTAGTTGCTGGGTAGCGCTAATTAATCGTAGTTGATTTTTTTAATTTAATGCTCGGTTTAAAATAACAACGATCTAGTCCTCTTTAGATTTCTCTGGGTTGCCCAAAAGTATATTAAAATTAATTTAACAGCCTTAGATATAGGCTAAGGTCCTACTGACTACTATTTTGAAGATTTTATTGCGAGATACGCCTGCGCACACTGTCGTGCAATAGGACACACGTGCTCTTATATTTAGATATACCTAGGTCGGATGAGATCGGTATCACGATTAGAGTCAAAACCGCCAGTTCTGAAATCTTTCACACTGCTACCGCTTAAGAGAGTAAGTTGTAAATACTTAGTTTCACTTAAGTTCCCGAATAGGCCCCAGATAGTAGTGAAGGACGAAATGACTTGTAATTTAATAAATTAAAAAAATAATTTTTAGGCGGCTACTGCGCCGCCAAATAAAAAAGGGCACGAGTGCCAGGTACTCCAAAAAATTAGCTGTGTAAACATATGTGTCCTGAACTATTACCGAACTGGGTCCGAACTAGACCTGAATTAGTCCCAAACTGCTGCCGAACTAGTCCCGAAATGGGTCCCAAAAAGTCAAGAACTAGCCCCGAACACAGCCCTTACTGGTCTCGACCTAGTTCCGCAATGGTCACTATCACGAATGCCCTAATGAAACCAAATAGGTGAAAGAGAACTAGAGATTAGAATAACTTAGAGAAATGTACAGGAACGAAGCTCCTCACATGTCTAAATACTTGCGATCTAGAAGATCTAAACCTTTTTATCGGCTTTAGAGGAGCGCCTCACAAAAAAATTACTTATCATCTAGACTAGGCCTTTTCCGAGCCGTTTGATACAACATCAAGTTTTAGAAAGGCCCACTTTCTTCTACGCAAATTTTTGAATCCTATATTATAAATTATAAAATCAGCTGCCTTTTTCAGCACGGCTTTTTCAAAATTAAAGGAGACGAAAGGAGATTGTCTGGCGTTGAACGGGGAACTTTTTTGTCTCCGGCTAGTACACGAAGGGACCTGGCATACTGTAACGCACTTCACTAGTAGTTCTGTGACCGACTTCATAGATTTAGGGTCCAGTATGTACTAGAATAGCTTTTGCTAGCAGGTACCCGGTATAGGTAAAAATATCGTGTCACGGTGTTTGTGGTCGAAGTCCTCCGAAACGGCTCGACCGATCTTTATGCATTTTTTGTGTATATTTGGTTGGTATGAGAATCGGATGTAAAGTATATTTTATGTCGATAAGTGAAGGTGGCGTGGTATCTCCTATATAAACCGTATTTTTCATACTGCATAACTCTGGAAGTGCTCTTGATAGAGTATTTGAGCCTGGGATGGTGATGTATGGAATCAATCTCATACTCTTAGAGAAAATTGGAGTGATTTGAAAATGGAGCGTGGCGCCTTTCAAACATGCTGAAACGCCAAGTGGCCCGGGAGTCCAGTTTTTACTAAAATTCGTATTTGTCACCCAATTTGACTCATATTCGAGATATGTATTGGTAAGGGTAAGGGTAGTAAAAAAACCGCCGGGTGGCGCTGGAGTCGAGTTATTACTAAAAATCATCAAGTCAGTAAAAGTGCCATTACATCGACGCCTCGTACCGCCGAGTATGTCGAACTCACGTATGCTCCGATTGGCCCAATGGAATTGCCAATATTACTGCGTGTTAAAGCTTCATTCGGAGACAACAGGATTGAGTTTTCCAGGGGTCTATCTCAAATGACCACCATTAAATCAACCGCCAGAACCATTGCGCTCCTTTATAAGACATTTAAGGTATTTTGTCTAAAATAAGCCTTTTTATATAGGATTTCTGTAGAACAACGATACTCAGCCACCAACTATACTACACAGTTTCAAGGACAGATTCACCATCGAACCGGATAATTGTTGCCGCCGGGGAGTGAAGAGTAAAAAGTTCTTCAAATTTATTTCGTTGTGCAGTTAACCGCACTATGAAACGTCAGATCATTGGAGAATTCTGAGAAACCTTCTTCGCGAACATACACTTCTGCTAGGTTATTTAAGACGGCACTGGAAATATGCCTTCTGACAATCACCAAACCGTAGTATTAGTAGATACATATGTAAATGCATCACTGGAAATCGTGCACGTGAATTGTTGGTAAAAATCTTGGACCAAAAGGTTTCAATCAAAAAAACAATTTTTTTTTGGCGGGACGAAGTTCGCCGGGTCTGCTAGTCTTCTTATAAATCGCGCAGGCAAAGACGAAGATTTAGGTCTCAGCCTAAACCAACTTACGGCTTAATTGCCAAATAAAAATAAAAGAAGGACGCAGACTATAAAATATCGGGTATAAAAATAACTGCAAAATGAAATAATAGGAAAAGAGGAGAACAAACAAAAAAGTATATGGGAAAGAAAAGTTATTTGCCACTAAAAAAAGCTACTATTTCTAACTTAATTTATCAGTTAATAATAAAAAATTTTGCTTTTTTGCAGTGGGAGTGCTACTTCTGATTTTGCTTCAGATTTTCAGCAAGAATGCTTGGATGCGCACAACCGATTTCGAGCACAACATCAGAACTGTCCACCGCTGTCGCTTAGTAAGGAACTGAGTCGTTATGCTCAACAATGGGCCAAGGTGAGTGCGACTTTTTGTAGTAAGAACGCTTGGTGTTAGCTTGGGAGAGACAAATTAGGGGCCATTGGGTTTATGCATTATCGGAAACTGAAACTTAATGTATCCATATAAATATAATGTTCCAAAATTATATGTATGGAGTTGGCTTCGACAAGCATATAATATAGAGGAACAGAAACGAAATTCGTTCAAAAGCTAAAAGCAGAGTCCTTGTGGTGGAACCAGGAAATACATAACTATGTTCGGTAAAATGCTTTTTGGCAAAGCATATAAGAATGCCTAAAAAACTTTCAAGAAGTCCGTAAAACTAGCCCGAAGCGCATCATCTTGAAAGAACTTCTGTCGAGATATTGAGCAAATCTCTGAGGGATACCGATTACCGAAGGTTCTATTAAAACATCCGACTGACCAAAAGTTGCGAAATGCTAGACATATTCTTGAACATCCATTGAGAAACTCGAAGCATAGAAGTATCCCTCAGGAAATGCTCCTCTCCGTTCTTCTCTTCAACCTTACAGTAAATAAAAGTATTCTGTTATTGCAGAATACAGGCTGTCAAGTCAAAGTTTATGGCGACGAAATTAAGCGAACGTCTAGAGAATAGATGGTCCAGGGAAAGCAGACTTACCGTTAAATTTTTCAACACCGAAATGGTGGTTAAAAAAATTAAACTAAATTTCTATGCAAAATATTGTTTTAGTAAATAGAATAGGGCTGTCATTAGCAGAAATCCGATTAGGATTTATAAGAATTGCCGGAGCCGTAAACAACTTGAGCCCAAATGACGTCATCAGTGAACGAATGATTAATCGTTTCGAATCTAATGAAAAAAGTACGGCTGTTTACTATCCAATGAAATTTATATTGAAAAGGCGCACCCCTCATCGAGTGCCGTAATCTCAAAATGAATTTTCGAATCAAGTTTCATTCGTGATTCGGGCCCTATTTTGCCTCTTAGTTTGAATTTGTTACAAGTTAGTCGTTTGTAATTTTTCATACACATTATAATAAAATCTCTCTACTGCCACAGCACTTGGCTGGTACAGGCCGCCTGGAACATCGACAAGTGCACACCTACGGCGAAAATTTGTATACATGTTTTGGCATGGAGGTTAATGGCTCAACGCCAGTACAACGTTGGTACGACGAGATACGCTACTATGATTTCTCCAAACCAAATTATAAGCCGGGAACAGGACATTTCACACAAGTGGTGTGGCGGGAGAGTCGACAGTTGGGCGTGGGCATTGCGACAAGGTGAGCCAGGGGTAATTTCTAACTATAAATATAATTCATGCAACATTTATTTTCTATGCTTTCAGAGGCGATACTACGTATGTTGTTTGTAATTACAATCCACCTGGTAATATTATTGGCAGTTTTGATAGTATGGTGCCACCAAAGAAGTGAACGCATCGCAATCAGCGCTCAAAATGTGATAGATTTTAATATATGCGGGTATTCTGAAAGTTTAATTTACTTATACATATAAATAGGAGGGCGGCAGTAAAGGTGTAAAAGTATGAGTGTATTTTAAACGAAAAAATTAATAATTTTCCATCTAAATTACAGTCATACAATTTTTTTTACTGCAACTCCTCGGATATATAAATATTTTGTGACTTTTAAAAACATATTCCAAAGAGATATTTTTAAGTTGCAATACTAGAATATTAGAATTTACAATGTACTTTTTTTACACGAAATCTTTTGTATAAAATATAATGACACCAAATTTGGCACTTTTTATTTCGCGCAATTTTCACGTAAATTATGAAATTTTTCCGAAATATTTCTTTGAATATAACACCGTGTGACAAAAAACAAAATAGTTGGAAATACACAAAGCAATCAATATACTCACGAAACTGTGAACCACAAAAAAAAAACAAAAAAAAATATATAGTAAAACCGCGTTTTTAGTTTTTCGCTCTGACGTCAGGATTTTTGAAAAGGACTTTGTAGTCTCGGAGATATGATTAATTCCAAAAATTATTTAAAAAATCCACTGCCATAAAAAATCTGCCAGTATGGGTATCAAACAAAAGATAAAATTCTCTAGAATTTCAAAAAATTAAAACTTTTTGGTTCACTGGGAAGAATATAAATGAAAATGCAATTTCAATTAATTTTATTTATTTAAGTTTATAAATTTCGAAGAACGATATGCGAAGATGTGGTCGAGTGTGTATTAGTCTTTAACATATAATTTTTTCAAAAACAATTATTTCCAAATTTCAAGTATGCAATTTTAAAAGGACATTTTCAATACCTACTCGTCGTATTGCACCAAAAAGTTTAATCTGCTTTAATTTTACAAATTTTCTTATTAATCTGATACCATACCAATTTTTTTTAATAATTTTTTGAAGCAATCATATTTTTCAAATTTCAAAGTCCTTTAAAAAAAAATCCTGTATGTTAACTTTCCTGTCTTTGGGTGTAATACGTCATATACGTATGTATCTATTTACAAATATAAAACCGTACCACCTTACAAGCAAACAAAAAAAAGCTCGCAATACAACTCTGAGTCTAAATTAGTTTTGCAAGGCAATACCGAAACAATTTTCTTTTTCGACAGAAGCTAAGGGTCGCATTTTTAAAATATTTCTACTGGAACAATCGAAATAACTTCTTAGCAAAACTTTAATGATTTTTGGTGAGCTTTAATTTACTGACCTTAAGGTGGCACATTAGGATGGTAAGAACTGCGATCAGCTGGGTAAGTAGTAGAACGGGGTACTTGAGGTCAATGAAATTTGTAACAAAAAAAATGTTCTCATCGACACAAGAACATCGACATATCATGCTTTGAAATTCGACTTTGTATGACGAAAAATGTAAAAAGGCGAATTCCACGTTCGGCCCAAAAAAAAAAAAAATATGTTTCAAAATTTCTTTGCAAAATTACTTCAGACTCAGGGGTGTTATGAAACGGTCTAATGTATACTTGTATTTGTATAACTCCCCTCGTGTTAGGCAACATGACACTTGAATTTGTAATTTCATTTGAATAAAAGCTGTTGGTTGGTCCCTGCTTGCCCATAAATACTTATGTACAAGCTACACACACACTTAACTGATAAGGCATAAGTCTTACGAAATGCTCAAGTTCATCAGCTAAGCGTAGTTTCGGTGTGACCAAAAGTTATCTTTATACAATTTATACAGTTGCAAGTGTCTACGTTTGTCAACTGAGTTGGCGATCCAAGGCAAGTATGCATGTATGTATGTATGTATATTATAAATTTATTTATTTAAGCGTAACTCAGCGTCCTAGTGTTCTGTAGCTAATTTGCATTTTAATTGACGCATAATATCGTAATGGTCGAAAACTGCTTGCACACTTTAAAGGCAGTCAGCATGAAAACTGTTATTTTAACATTCGCTTGTACTGTTTGACTTGCAGCAGAAGTTAAGTAGCGAGGATTTAGGGTTGTGCAAGCAGTGCTATAGGCTTGGAGACTTGGTTCCATTTTTTCAGCAACTAAGACCTTGGTGAATGTTTTTCTCCTCTTAAGTTCCTAGTTTTGCGTTAACTTATTTATTTTAATTTTATTTTTTTCTTTATATTGAACTACAGTCATGAATTTGCTTACCTAAATTTAGAAATTGCATAGCTTCTCCTGCAGTTCTGAAATCCTGAAGAAAGTCTTGCAATATTTTTATGACAGAGGGCGGATTTGCTAATGCCAATCGGGGATTGACTGATGGAATCGTCATGTTCTGGAAGTAGGGGTTTTTCTACGAAATTATTTATTAATTAAGTACATAAAATAGAGCCCATATTTCCTGATGATGTGGAACAATTCGAGCCCTAACCGCCAAAATAACGTAAGCGACATTTTTTTCAAAGTTTTCTTTTTGATGCAGAAATGCATCTAGATGCTCTAGGAATATTTCTGCATCAAAAAGAAAATTTCGAAAAAAATGTCGCTTACGTTATTTTGGCGGTTAGGGCTCGAATTGTTATTCTAATATATGAAGAAAAGTTGAAATAACATTTTTTCGGTAAAAAAAAAAATTACATAACCTTAACTTAACTTTGGTTCGTCGACTAGGAATCTGTATTCAGTTTCTCTAGATTTGGTTATTTTACCAAATACCTATATATGTATATTTTCATTTTTATAAAGAAAAAATCAAATTTTAACACCAGAAAAATTAAAAAAAATACAAGATTTTTTGTAATTTTTCATTTATATTCAAACCTTTTTCTTTAACCACTACTAACTACTAACGAAGAAAATCGTTTGATAATTAAAAAGTTGTTAATGGTCAAATGAAAATTCGTAATGAGTTTTTTGGATGAAATATAAGCAGGAGAGAATGTTACTCATACGCCATGTATTTACAGGGCATACTCGTACATAGTCGTATGTGGCGTATGAGTAACGTTTTCTATGTTAAATTTTGACTTTTTTTTATTCACAATGCAAAATTAAAAATTAAAATATCATGGGAAAATGAACTGATCTCTAGAAACGGTATACAGATCCATAACATACGACTAACGATGGCAAAAAATAAAATAATGGATTAATCACAAGCCAAAAAAAAAATGAATTGCAATTAACTGCAATTAATGAGAAATAATCGATTAATCGAATTTTTAAAGGCAGTTTTTACAGCCAGTGTAAACAAAAACGCTTTTCCATAAAAAAATTTCTAATTTTCTTGTTAATTAACCTTAAATAAAATAAAAGGAGTATTTTTAGCGGCGAAAATTATTTATTATTGAACCAAGTTTGGAAAAATCAAATTTTGATATTATAATTAAATTAATCGCTAACAAGAGTTTCATATGGCCTGTAATTATATGACCTCAAAAGTTTTTTCTATACAAATATGAACATCGTTCCATATATAGTATGTATATACTTACCCTGCAAACCAAAGTTCCCGAAATCTTAAGGAAATCGTTAGGAGTATCTGATTTCTGTAACGATTTTTTTACGAATTTTCAAAGAAAATCATATGAAGGGGTTGACACGAACTCGTAAAGAAATTTCTGTACGAAAAATAAAGAAAATTCTGGAAAAATTCTGAAAGATATTCTTCACATAGCAGCGTTATTTTCGTTGCTTCACAGATTTTCTTCCGAAATTTCGTAAAAGAATGGAAGTGTGCGTAATTTATTTCATTTTAGAAAATTCGGCAAAAAATCGAATAAAATCTTAGCAAATTCTTTAAAATTTCTTTACAATGCAGAATACTCTGAAAAAATGGTTTGCAGGGTATGTCTGTATGTATTTATAAATGATATGTGAAAAAATATTTCCAGCGTTATTTTTTATGATGCGCAAACGTTTATGTTGGAAAACTATCGTAAGATAATATTATAGATAATAGATATAGCAAAATAATATTATAGATGTCATATCTATTTGCAGTTAGATACTCGTTTACTGTTATTATTTTCTTGTTTCGCATTTAGGTACGTACATATGCAAATGTCTGCGCCCCTAAACGGATTGGTGCATTTTTTTTTGTCTGACTAGGCAGGAAATGTTTGCAATATTGAAAATTTCGAAGAAATTGCGTTAAAAATGATTTTTTTGCTGTGACAACGGTAATAACAACAAAAAAAGTTAGAGGTGAAATTGCATGCAACAACACACATGAGCATTTATCCATATTTACATATACAAATGTATGCAAAATATTTTTACATTTATAACACACATATTTATATACATACATACATACGTATAAACATCGTTAGTTCTGCAGTTCTGAAAATGCTTCTGGCCGAAAATATTTCGCAAAGCTGGGATAAATTCAATTTTACAGACAGACTACGACAAACAGACAGCCCAGTTAAATGTGCAATGGCGCACAATCACCTCGAGCGCGCATGCATACATTCGTATAAATTGAGTTACCTTTGCGTGCGTGCGTGTGTGTGGTTGGCAGCTAACAGCCGTTAAGTTGTTAGGGGTTTTTCGACACAGACTCATACATATGTGCTATACATATATGTATACTATGTGTTTTACTCCTACACAAATATACAGTGACTCAAACAAATGACTACGTGTTTAATTTTTTTTTTTGGAATATTCGTAATGTTTTTTGAGCTAAATTTTTTGTTTGTTATTTTTCTATAAAAATACCGTCCAAACTTTAATCAGAACCATACAAATCACTGTTTCAAACTTAATACAAAATTTAGGAAAATTCAAAAAATTTTCATCAAAATTTCAACTTTTTACTCTGAATCTTCAGAACATTTTTGGGTATGCAGTTTTATAACCCATACAGTTTTAGTCTAATGAAGTGCTAAAAAATCCCGTTGTTATTTGAGAATTGTTTTTTTTTTTTGGTGACAGATTTTTGCACTTCTGCCATATAAGCATGCATTTCGTATGAAATAAAACGCGGGAGACCGTTAGCAAAAAAAAATCAAAAAATCAACGCCAGGTTTAATAAATTGCACTTGTAGTAGTCTCAAA